TTATTCCGCGAAAATGTTCACATTTCTATATGGGTCGGCTCCTACTTGAGAATAGTCGTCTTCCCTATGAATGTCCTTGAATACTGATCGAGTCTGATTTCCTGGAATTCAACAACAGTCATTTTAGGGTGTTTCCAAAGTTTCACATCGAGGTTTGTGTTCTACTCCTGAATGCAGGATTTTTCTTTTCGGTCGTGCGCATAGTATGTTGTCTAAAATTGTATATTCTGGCGTAATCCTTGAACACCTCTTACTGCGATAAATAACGGTGTGATTTGAAATCATTTTTAACTGCGCTAAAATTTCTTCTTTTCGTTAAGGATATCTTGATTCTTCCAGAGCTTCGATGTCTCTGTCCTTAGTGGGGTCTGGACAACACTCGAACACCATACAGTCAGCCGTGGTGATTCATTTCTCAATAAGAAAGATCTTTGTTATGTGTTACAATAGATGCCCTAGTCTCCCGGGCGTTGTTCACGTTCTCAAACTGCATGTTTCCAATTTGACGAGAGCACCTTCCTTAGTTATCAGCTTATGTGAACATCGGATGACCGCTTTTGTATCAAAAATATCCGCGAAGAATACTCTAATTTGAACTCGGATCTTGCAGTCCTTGTTAAATCTGGAAATTTCTGCGTATTCATGGAGATCGTCTTATATTAAGGACGGGGAAAGTGATGATGGGTATTTATTGCACAAAAGATTTTGGTTTCAGCACAACCACTGGTGGAGCTTCGATGATCAAGGTACCTCTCGATGCCTGGGTGTAGCTAGGACAGCAATGGCTTCTCGCGGTGAGTGCGCTAGGGAGGCTGTCGAAGGATTTTGGTTTCGGCTCAACTTTTAGTGACAAGTGACAAACCTCTAGTAATCTACACTGTTAGTTAAAACTCATTGTTCTCCGTTTCATTACAGTCGACTCTTCCATCTCAGAGGTCTACCATTTAAGATATGCTCTCAGCGTTCTATAACTATGGAGACCTACAATTTGTCGACTTTCTCCGGAAAAGCGTAGTGTTATTGGATTACGTGAAATCAATTCCTGTTCATAAGTTGCAGTTATTCCAAGTTGTAAATCAACATTTTGGAACAAGATAAATGTACAACCAGTTTGAATGTTTCAGCTGACAGAAGACTGCGTAATGCTATCCTTGGTAAGGTTTCCAAATTCACCGATTTTTATTGTGAGAAAGGTGTGTATTTATTAAATCCCATGTTAGACAGACTATTTCAGCCAAACTACATGCTTGCCGAAGAGAGTCGGCTAGATGGTGAAAACGGGACGGTAGGCGTTAGCAGTAATCCATCTGCTCCAGAAGTCAGAAGGGAAGGCGTTGAGATTTTGTGGAACGTGGACGAGACTTCATTGATGCGTCCATTAAGCGCTAGTTATATGGGCACATCTAATATGGACTCAGACGTAAAATAGAATATGTTTTCAAATTCTATAGCTGCTGCTACCCGCTATGGCTACTTATTTTGTTCATTTTTAGTTCATGTCTGCTCTTTAGTCTAGTTTAGCCTATCCTCTATCCTTAGTTACTCAGTTCATCAAGTCAAAATAGGCTTACATATTACAGTTGACAAACTGAGCGGAGTATTGAGTCGTGGAAGCAGACATGTTCCGTAGGATGGAAGAGTATTTTCAGTTGATTAAGATGATGGGACTGGTTCGCTTTTATATGCAGCACTTTCGTTTCCACAGCAGTATCTTTCCAGAGCAGTGTTGAATTCACGGTATATTGCGATGAAATTTCAGTCCGAAAAGCTGCTAAAATACCGACATAAAGTCCATATTGTGCGGATGTAAGCTCTTTTATTCATCACATCTTTTTTGAAAATTCTTTACTTTGCATTCTCATAGTGTCGCACTTGTTTTGAAATTAAATTTATTTTTGTGAGGGGGAAATCAAGTGTGTGATAGTTTTTTATTGGCACGTTCCGCACGTATAGCGTAGTGGTCGGAAACGCCCTGCAGTACACATGGTATCGATCTCCACACCACCGGCCCACCAATCCCTCCAACCTTGGGGGTTTGGTAGATTGGTACCGGATATGTCTGGGAGGGTAGCAGCACTGGCTCGATACACCGGCAGGCCACCGCAAGTCATTGTAAAGGCCCGCTATGTATTCAGTCACCTCCAACGAGACTTCATGAAGTCGAATGCATGGCGCATCCCTTAGGGATAGATCAACGTTAACAGCTTTTTCCTTTCTTTTATGGAAACTTTATTGCGAGTTCATCTTCTTCTATTGTTGCTTAACCGCTTATTTTGTTACATTGCAGTTTAATTCGTGCCACCCAAGCATTTCATGCATAACAACAATTTCCACCGCGCGACTACTTTGATACCAGGACGGTGGCGGATCCTGGTACTGGTTTACTCTTAATTGAGCATCCTGGTGGAAATGCCGGACTACTCAGTTTGGGGGACCCTGTCGGAGCAATGAATCCCTCAGCAGTACATCGCAGCACGTCCACCAGAAACACATTCCCAGCCAGAGTGAGGCGGTGAAGCTTTGGGAGCATTATCCAATACAGGCGGCACGAAACGGTTTTGGCGATATTCTATTGCCCTGTGGAACCTCTTTCCCTAGTGGGTATAGTAGGTATAGGTGTTTTACACAGGAGGGGTTCAGTACTTGGTTGAAGAACACTGATAGAGTAATTCTTCGTATTTTTGTTGAGCAAACGCGAGGTGTTATTATTCTTTATTCACAAATGAGCTGACGTTTCGGCGGATTTCGCCTTTCTCAGAGCCTGGAAAGGTCAAGTTGACAGCAATCTACTTGGCCAGACGCCTCCATAACCAAACAAAGAAACTCTAAACCAAGATTTCAATCACATTGAACACAGCTTTGCACACTCACCGCTTTCTATGAGGTCTCCACTAAGTATGTCACGTAGAGACCAACCGCACAGAAATCACATGGAAGTATAATGTACCCCACTCATCAGAATAGCAGTCTTATATACTGCCCTACATCACGCGTGATAATGAGGCATTCTTTGCTGCGGTTCATTTTCGGTTTTCTGGAATTAATCCAGAGTGCCTCGAGAGTTTTTCGCGCCTGTGTTCTTGATTCGCGTGCAAGGGTCGTGACACATACTTCAAAGTCCTCCCCGTTATGTCTCTGGGTCCTATGCGTGCCTAGCGTTTGCTCAACAAAAATACGAAGAATTACTTGATCAATGCCGAGGTTAATAGAAAGTCGGTCGTGGGAACACTGATAGAATCGCATTCAGTTTGACGCTATCGATCGTGTTATCGTGCTTCATAAAGGTTACGAGAAGGGGCAGGCGGTATTTCCGACAAACTTCTATGACCCGTGATACTGCTTGAATGTGGTACGTGCAGTAAAATCCCTGTCAGAGTCCTGTTTGCTCAACTGGTTGTATATCGTCCAGTATTGGATGTGCACAAAACGATAATCTTCGTGAACATCTTGTGGAGTACACTGAACAAGCTTATTCGGTGGTAGTTGCGAAGATTCCTTCAAGCATACTTCTTGGATAGGATAACTGTGACTGAGGTGCTCCATTGTTCTGTGAATTCTCTCCAGTTCCACCAAATGATTAATAGGTGAGCATTCTTCGCCACGTTGCGAAATGTCCATAGAGTTTGTAACTGGACATCGCACTAATTTAGGTGTCCTACACATTTTTCTTCTAGTTATTTGTCCACATGGCCGCCTCCTGTACCTCATCCAGTTCCCACCACTCCAAATAAATGGCAGCCTCCAATGTCATGACGCCCGTGTGGCTTTGGAAATCCATCAGTATATCGGGGACCGCCTGATCCGTCACCTGCTTACGGTGGATATCCTCTTCTTCTTATACCATTGTGAGCTATTTCTCTTTTGCGTGACTTATTATACTTTCTTTTCCTAGGATACTTCCTGAGAAGAATTTAGGACCCTAGAACTAATTCCTTCGTAAACTCTAGTTAGTTATTGGTGAAAGTATTCAGTCTACACGCATAGATCCCGATGATCTCTAGAAATTACTTGTAGCTGTTTTATGCTAAAAGCTGCTAATACTTGTGCGTAATGGAAGCATTCGGTCCAAGGAGCGGTAATCGCATTTTAGGGAAACTATTAAGGGTGTCCATGTTTCGATTCCTCACTGCTTCATATCAAGTTTTGCGCTTAGTTTAGGTGTGCACGTCTGTTATTACATGACAACAAAAGCTTAACACATGTAAAGTGCGTTGAGTTGGCTATTATGCGAAGTCGACAAAACGTGGTGTTTCGAGTTTTGCTACCAGATAGACTAGGCAGGTTTGTACAGAAAGTAGTAGCGTAGTAAACATTTTCCTGAATTCTTTTTATTTTATTAATGTGTTTATGTGATAGATGGTTTATATGCGAGAAGTAGAAAGTGAGGAAAAAGTATAAGCTCCACGTTGGAACTGTACCTCATATAAGTTTTCCTTTGATTTCCTTTTTCCATTATTTTTCGCAGACCATTGCAGAGCTGATCATTGTCAAAGTTACAGGAAGAAGTAAATAGTTCGAGTGATGGCACACAACATCAGCATGGGTTTTTGAAAACATGGGTTACGAATATGCACTTTTCCCAAAGGTGTGCTCCACACGCTGACGAATGCGCACTCCACCCACGCTTTCTCTTGCTACGTAGTCCAAATACCTCCACATAAAGTTCATATAGAAGTTGTATATTGCAAAACAAATGTTTATGACTTGAAGGTTCACAATGTTGCCGAGAAAAAGTGTAATAAGGTTTGGAAACTTGTGCTCTTTTCAAGGGTGTGGTTTGCCCGCCGATAAACAATGTCTTACCACAGACCCTAATAGGGTGGTCGATGAGAAGCTGTTTACTGGCAAGAGCCACAAGAGAAACATACGACATGCATTTCCTAGGGAATTTCCATGAAGTGTGATGAGATTATAGCAATCAAAAAGTCAGTTCTGCAAATGTAATAAATACATACATAGGAGGTTATACACCTAGTTTTAACCTCTACAATCACGTTTCTTTACTGGTGGAGACTTAGATCAGAACGAATAATACGCTCCAGCATTGATGTGCTGAGTCGTGGATTTCGAGCTGTTAACGCCGCCCATGGTTCAGTATCCAACACTTCGCATCTATTCTCAGTCACCTAGAGTAATACACAACTAATGGCTTTGGCATGGAAAGGAACCAACTTATCGCTTTTACTTTAAAACCGTATGCTTCTTAATTTTTGTGAAAGTTATTATACAAAGAATGGAGAAATTTGGAAACCCTCTGTATGAGAGTTGTTGTCGAAAGAATGTCGGAAGCCTGTTAAGCACGATGGCATAAATAAGCCATAAGAATGGTGCGCTTGAAAACCACCCCACATTTTGGCAAACGCTATTTGACGTCGACATTGAAATCTTGTCAAAAAGCGAAGAGAAAGAAAAAACCGAGGGTTGGACAACAAGCAAACGAGTAAGAACACTAGTAGGGACTTACGTAATCAAAGCAGTACTCGTATAAATAATTCGCCTGGTGGAAATCAGCAAACTCCAAATATTCGATGATATTTGTAGGAGAAACTCTAAAAGAGCATTACGATAAGAAATGCCAATGAAAGAAAAGTAACCTTTGTCATCCGAGCGCACTTTTCTGTCAGAACTTTAAAACAGCGTCTCGTTTACGTGAGAACAACAGCGGGACATCAGCACAACACAAGTTGGTTCTACACACCTCGAAATAAGGTTCTGCTCGCACAATGTCTTAATGGCAGGAATGCCGTACTTTTCTGCCAGCTGTATAACGTCAGAAATGTCCTACAATTTGCAAGATAGGTAAAGTGATTAAAAAATCCAAAATCAAACCACAAACAAAGTGCCAAAAGTACCTTCGTGGTCAAATCCTGGAGCAAAATGGAACCAGAATGAATAAAAATCAACATACTTTTCACTGCAGCTGTGGAGAAACCTTCAATTACTATCCCATTTCTCTAAAAATTCAGACTTTCGTTCAAGGACACTACTGACAACTAATCCACAAAAGTAAACATGTGTGTTAAGAGCAATGACACAGCCAATTAGCGTAAACGCCGGCTAATAGAACTCTAAGATGCCGTAACCGTTTGTATGACTGCCTATGCATAAAGCAAAATTGAACAAATTGGTTTAACCGTAGAGGTGGTGATTGCATGATTTCGTGTACGGTGTTTCTGATCTCTTGTAAAGCGTGTAGGGAGGAATAAATTAGGGAGACGAGCAGACAACTTTGTGTTCGCTTGAAACACACATAGACACTAAGCGTAAACTTAAGCTGAATTTACTAGGTGACTATGAAGTACAGACACATAATAGGGAAGATATTAAAGTGGAAGACACCATCATTGCAGGGAAATCTAAAACCTCAGCTTGTAAAACCCTTGGAGCATTCTGGATTGATTCCAGGAATCCAAAAATGAACCACAGGAGGAAACACCTCACTCTCATGGGAGACCTAACACAACCTCTGAGACTAATATCTCACCATCAGTGTACCGCGTTTCACCAATCCATGTGAACATCACATGGCTTGTCTCTACGTGGAATATCAGTAGAAGACTCACAGATAGCGATGGGTATGCGAAGCTATTGTATACCTAATGCGATTGACAATTAGGTATCGTGGTTTCTCTCTTGAGGTGATGGAGTTGTTTGCCTTATTAGGTCATAGTTAACTTTACTTTCTCAACCTTTGATGAAGGCGAAATCCGCCGGAAACTTAACTTCAGTGGATAAATTGAGAGTAAAGCAACAACTTCGTGTGTGCTTACCAAGAAAGCAGGTCACTTATTTTTTCTAAATTAGAATGTGTGATCTGGTTCAATTATGCACTTAACGTAGAAATGATTTTCTTACAAATAGACAATTATAAATAATTCTCTATCGAGATTGCAAGTGATCTCTTCCTGTCTAACTTGTCATGAGCAAATCATAAGTTCGAACAGCACGTTCTGTCTTAGTGCATTCTTTGAACTGCATTAGAAGTTCGTCTAAACGGTTCACAGCCTCGTCGTGGCTGGGAGGTGTCCCTGGGTGTCGGACTGCGATGTACAGCGTGTAATTTGTCTCCTCGGCAGGGTCTCCCAAGCTGAAAAGGAGTCTTTCCATCAGGAAGCCTAGCTAAGTGTAAACCAATACCAATGCAAGCATTTACCATCGTCTTCGTATCAAAGTCTCATGGTGGTAAATCTCCCATTGATCCACAAGGGCTGCGACTGCCTGTTGTGGTGACGACATGGGGCATACATTGGCCAGGCTCTCCTCAGGATTCCAGGAAACCACAATAGCTTAACCAGCAAATCTCCAAGGAATAGTGATTATGCTGGACCCGCACAACTAGTGATGACGGGCCGTTCTAGTACCATGTAAGTAAGCATTAGAAGTTAGCATCTAGTTCGAAGCCCAGCAATTTGACATACCTCGGTTTCTTCTATATTATGCTCGAGTATCTTACAGAAAGCGTCCGAATGAGTAATAAGTTTGTACTTTTGCACCGCAAACACCACTTGATCGTCACCCGATATGGCAGTGACATTAAGGTCGGAAAATTGAGAGTAATTAGCATCCGTAAACATTGCAAGCTCTGTAACTACCGCATTGTAGCCTACGTAATAGTAGAAACAGTCATCAGTGTTTTCTAGTTTTTGTTTTAAAGTACTTTTCATTCACTTTATTGCTAAATACGTGATAAGGCGTGGGAAAAGTGTTGGACCCCCCTCAGATGTGCAGGAGGTTCAATTCATCATTTCCAATCACTTCATCTTTTATGTGTAAATAACGTAACACCGTTGTTAGAATACATTGTAAACACCTCACAAATTTTGCCAATGTAACCTCATTCTGTAATAAAGATGAATTATGTAATACCTACCGTTTTCCGTGTAAGATTGAGCTGTTTCTATCACCTCCATTATTGGTATAGCACTCGGCTGGACTCGTCTGCAAGATCTGGGATCAACGCCTGGTAGAACTTCAAGTGCGCACAGTATAACCAATGAATAGTCAGCTCTAATACTTTCCTCAACCTTAATAAACAATCATCGACAAGTGAGAAAATTTAAGCATATTCTAAGAATATTCGTACTAGTTTCTTCAATCGTTTCGGAAATTTCTACTCGTTGTCGACAGCAACAACTACTATGGTGACAAAGACAAAAAATAATATCAAAAAGAAGAACAATAGCAAATAATGACATGCCTTCCTTCTCGAGATATTTAGAAAACCCCATGACGAATACAGACGATGAGGTGGCTTCACATGGAAAACACCAATGTTATCAGTACTAAACTTAATTTCATCGTCGTCATGCAAGAAACAGAAGCGGTCCGCGGCTTTGACAACCACCTAAGTAATCCAAAATTACGCTTCCAAGCCCGTTTTAAAAATTTATACAACAATACCTCCTCGTAGGGATATTCACCCGTCATCTGTAGGAACAATGATACGTTATCTGCATTCTCGAGGCGTTTACCTCTGGGATAAAGGTACAGCTGCCAGCGGGACCTAGGCACCGTCGAGTGTCTGACAGAAAAAAAATATGCAAAGAAGTTACGTTAAACAAAGCCCTCCGTGGAAATAAAAAATGCAGCAAACCAACCCGAAAATGCTGCTGCGAAAGCACAAACCAGGTTTGGAAAGCCTGAGCAACGCCGAAAAATCGCAGACCTAAACATACGATGTGATAAAAAGACAAGGATAGCATGTACAGTTAAAAAAATACCGTCCATCTCTGAGAAAATATAACAGGTTCGACGTTTACTGCACTCCCGCTCATCAACGCTGATCCTGTAAAGTTTTCGTCTGGACCACGAGGACACCTCCTTAGTTTCTGGTTGAGTAATTCCGACATGAATCCTCTGCAAAACACAGATATGTTTAAGTGAAAAGTGATGAAATGTACAACAGAAGCAAATTTTTATTTTTCTAATAATTTAGACCTAGCACGAAGAAGATAAAATGAAACCATAGAATAACGGAATAGAATGGCAGGAAGGAAGGGCGGTTATGGGAATCAGCAAAATGCCGACTTCATATGTATATATATATATATATATATATATATACAAATATATATATAAGACAAAGCTCTTGGCACTGATAAATTCCTGAGGGATGGGCAATGCATTCTAGTTCATTAAGCAACGTTGGAGGTGACTGAATGCATACCTGCCCTTTACAGTAGCACCTGGTGGTCTACCGCTGTCTTGAACCAATAATGTTATCCTCCCAAACAACTCTGGTTTCAATTTGTTGAGCCCAAAATAGATGGAAGGCTGGGCTAGCCTGAAGCGTGTCCCTCCCCATGTGTATTGCAGCGCGCCTACGACCACTGCGCTAAGCTCCCCTACTAAAAAAATATTTCCAAAAAAATAGCTGAGCGGTAATTTTGCTTTATTCCATTTTAATCACGATGGCTATGGTGAATTTGAAGATATAAGAAAAGCCAAAACAGGTTGAACGCAGGATTCGGAATGGTTCCAAATGCAAACAGTAATGTATTTGCACAATGGAACATAGTAACACTTAGTAAACATGAGAAAAGATTTTTAACTGTCAAAAAAAAGAGGAAGAGTTGGCAACCGACTAAAGATTGGTCTTAATCGGCCGCCCTAATGCAGAAGTACGGTAGTGGGGCGTTGTAGGATGCATTACCGCAAATGTAGGTGCATTAATCAGGAAAGAGCGGGAATTCAAACGTGTACTAACCAGTCTTCTTACGACGTGCACTTTTGTGCTGAGAGTGATTTGGGTCGAAAACAGGTGATGAATTTGCTGTTTGTTGTTGGAGCCATAGGTGTTTGCCAAGAATTGGGTGAGAAAGAGGCGTTCAAATCCAGATTATATTTCTTTTATAGCTTTGCGGGTTGCGGTAGGCCGTCTTACATAAACAGTCTCTTTTTTTCTCTTGTTACATCGATGAAAACCAACATCAACGCTGTCTAATGAAGTGACCTCAGCCTTAGACAATGTTCGTGAGGAGCAGGTCAAACATGTGGTCGATCTTTTTTCGCATGGTTTTTCGCATGGTCTAACCACTGAAACAATGGCTCGTAGATGACCATTACTAGCAACCTCTAGTTCTCACTGGTACAAGAACACTTTACAAGGTTGAGGTGAGAATGAACATTAGGCTGTGAATGGTGAACAATTGCTTCCGCACAGCCACTTTGGAAGAAGGTCGAATTGTTGAAGTGGAATCAGCTGGTATTTTTTAGAAAAGGGGAAGAACGATTTCGGAAAGTACGTACCTACAGTTTTTCTTTTCTAGCGAACATCTAAATTAGGCTATAATGAAGCGGATTAACAGCTCCATAACGATTAAGAAATTGATTTACAAACACCAGCGTTCTCTGAAGCCGCATCTGGTGCCAATTGTCTCGCTCGTCTTTGGACAATATTAGCGATCACAAATAGTAAGTATTCCTTAGAAATAGTACGTCGGTATTAAAAATTTTCAAAAATTAACGGAAATCGGTGCATTTGAAAGAGTGGAGAAACTTAGAACCTGTAATTAGACACCTTATGGGAGACTTATAGCGAGCAGACAGCTCTACTGCTTTTGTGCGTTAATCTAAACGCGTGCGAATTTTGCTAGGTGCGTTAATTTCTCCCAGTAAGAATCTCCTTACAGAATCCCCCTTTTGTAATTAATTAGCATATTATCTTTTTTGTAAAAAATATAACAATTTATATAACTCGTATGAAATGCTGAGATATTTGCAAAACTCCGGACCACAAGTGTATGCAATGGAGAACGAACACGCGCTGTTATCCTTTCCGGGGAGCAGCGCGTGTTCGTTCTCCATCGCATACACCTGTGGTCCGGAGTTTTGCAAATATCTCAGCATTTCATACGACTTATATTTCGCAACATACCCTGCCATTAAAAAGAAAAAGGCAGTAAAT